GGCACGCACCATCATCCGCCAGCGCGGATCGAAGATGATGCGGCGGCGCTCGCGCGAGGGGTCGCCGTCGCAGATGATGAAGGCGAGCAAGATCATGTGCCGCACGTTCTTGCCTCCGTAGCCCACCAGGTCCTTGGCCTCGTCCTCCAGGTACCTGTCCGCCGCCAAACACAAACGCACACAGCGCGCTGATGAGTCGAAGAGTGCGGGATAAGAGCGGACATCAAAGGCCGCTGCTGTGTTCTTTTCCCCGCACCCGTAGTTCATCATCTTCGTCACTGAGTCGGGGTACTCGAAGCTTCCCGTGGGGCAGCACTCGTCCACGGCCTCTGCGCGATCGTCGATGATTGAGAGAAGAGAGAGAGAGAGAGAGAGAGAGAGACCAAGCGCGGCATGATGAGCGAGAGAGACCGACCAGCTTGATGGTTGGGTGGGCGTGAGTGAAGGCCTCGTACCCTTGGCGGCGAGGCACATGCCAAAGTTGAGGAAGATCGGGTCCTGCATGGGGGCCACGCTCGAGAGGAAGCGAATGGCGTCGTCGCACGCCACGGCTCCCTCGCGCGTGGCCATGCCGGGCTGTCCCGGCACACTGCGGTGACGCGGGTGAGCAAAAACGCGAAGTCATTGAGCTCAGCTGGTGGTGATGTACCGGAGGGCGGTGCCCTGATAGAAGGGGCGGAACTCGTTGATCAGGATCTGCGCGTAGAAGCGCGGGTTGCGCCTCAGATTCATCATTTCATGGCGCAGCTCGAGCTCCAACTCTGCGCGACGAAACACACCCACACACACACACACAACACGGTCAGTTACCAGGCTCGGAGGGCGCAGGGAGGAGTGGGTGTGCGCACTGTTCTGGGGAAGAGTATAGCGCTGCGTCGCTGAGTCAATGTAGACCGACTCCGTGGAAAAGTTGTCGACATCGTCGGGGTCAGGGAAGTGCTGCTCCACACGTCAGCGGTGACGGTCGTGTTGCCCCAGTAGCCGCCCGGACCAGTCGCGATGGCCGGCCCCGCGCCTATATCGCGGTGCTGAGGTGAGCACCGCGGTGTGCAGCAGAAAACGACGAACAAGCGCTATTGGGAATGCGAGGAAGCCGGTGGTGATGGGGTGCTTACCGCCGGAATAGGTGGCTTGCATGGGCTGCTGCGGGAAACCGCTCATTTGGGGGAACGATGGGGCCGTGGCCGGCGGAGGAGCGTTGTAGCCGCCGCCCACGGACACAATCGTGCCTCGCTGGGGCTGTATTCCTCCTGCTGGTCCAACCGGTTACAGAATACATCAGATGATGAAGCAAAACAACACACACACACACACACACACACACACACACACACCACAACAGAGAGAGAGAAAAAACCTGCAGGGCTGCCAAAGTCGACATTCACGCCGCCCATGGCCAAGAGGGCTGCGAGGGGGTCATCCTCCTGGGCCTCACTACAGAACAGAGAGGAGGGCGCTCAGTTGATCGACTGCCTCCCCCGCATGGGGTGCTAGTAGCAGTACCTGTGTCGCTGAGGCGGAGCCGCGGAGGAGATGGAAGCCCTCTGGGGCGCAGCAGCAGCTGGCGCGGGGGACCCGAACTGCTTGAGGATGTCGTCCAGCATCGCCTCGTTGACCGACGAAGTCGACACTCGCCCTGCTCAATAACATCATCAGCCGCAGCACATGAGCAAAGAAGAAACGACGGCGTTAACCCTTTGGTGGTGCGCGCGATACCCGAACCAAATTGCGCCTGCGACGACGCGGCCGGCGAAGCGGCGGCGGCCGGTGCGAAGCTGGACAACCGCGGTGCCGGGGCAGAAGAGGAGGAGGAGGCGGGAGCGACGCTCTGGCGGGAGACGGGAGCGGCGGCGGCTGCCGGCGACGAAGGTGAGGGCACTCCGCCGGCGAAGGACATGAGGGCGGCGAGCGGGTCATCAGAGTCGGCCAGGGAGAGGGCGTCGATGGCCGGCAGGGGCGCAGCGGCCGACTGGTGCGCCGATTGCGGGGCCGAGGCCGGCGGCGAGGAGCCCAGCCGCTGGTCGATCGTCGCGATCAGGTCATCCAGATCCTGCAGGCCGCTATCCGCCGCAGCTGGCTTCTTCTCCGCCGCGGCTGTGTTTGCGCCACCGCCGCCTCCACCACACCGCAGCTGAGCCACCACCACACCACTGTTCTCGCACCACCAGCCCAAGCCAGAGAAAAAGAAAAACGAAAAAGAGCGAAAAAGAACGAAGACGCGGGGGGGGGGCAAAGAATGAAGGAGGTGGGTGGGGTACCGGCGGGTGGGCTGGCGGGGGAGGGGTCGGGGAGCGCGGTCTTGGCACCGGGCTTGACCCTGCGCGGGAGCGACACGCGCTTGTCGTCGAACTCCTCCCCGGTGGGGGAGGTGTAGGCCGCGATGGCAGTGGGGTGTGGTGAGGCCGAGGAGGAGGAAGCGTGGCGGGCTGGCCGAGGAGGAGGGAGAT